TATACTTACTGCATCTAAGTCAAACATTTTTAATACTAGTGTTCAAGCACATAGAGTTGATGGACGCGGCCAACCTCTGATCTACCAACAATCTCCCCCCAACAACACTATTAGGACTCAAACCCGTGACTTTTGGCTGTAATACCACTTGTTGAGGAGATAAACCACACTTGGAGCCTATAGGAGTACACCAGAGAGCCCATACTGAAGCAATAAATACAATAATATAGAAACAATATATCGTAATAAACCCATAATAATATACAATAATCAATAATTAACAATGCAGGAAAAATAAAACACACCAAAATTTATGTAAAAAATCCTCTAATGTAGAGGGAAAAACCATGACCACCAAAAAAAATTTTCACTATCAAAAAATGAATATACAAGCTCTTCTCTAGCTAAAACTAGAACTAATCAACAACTAAAGAAATAATTGGAGAAATCTCACTAAATAAGTGACTCAACAAATATACCTTGAATTTGTTCATAGAGAGCTTCAAACTCGATCTTCACTATTTAGAATATAGAACTCTAAATCATAAACTTGCTAATAAAATTTTAGCTTAATCAGATCATGAATCGATTTTCATTCAATCAACTCTCCCTTCTTTCTTTTCTTTCTATTTTTTTGGCTTTTTTCTCCCTATCTTTTTTTTTAGATTTGCGGTGCCACCTTATTTTATTAAGTAGCTAAGGTTCTATATAAAAAAAAAAAAGACCAAGGCCTATGGCCTTTGATTGGTCCAAACCCAATTACATGAGGCTGAATCTCATTTTTCTAACAATCTTCCCCTTCAACCCCATTAGGAAGAGATTCATTATCATAGCAATTTCATTTAAAATTTACCTTGGTCAAAGAACTCATTCAGACCAAGTTAGTACAAAGCTCAAGCTTCTCCCTAAAAAATATTTTAGTCAACATATTTATTATATTCTCATCAGTATAAACTTTCTTCAATAGTATATGTTGTTCTTTAATCACTGAATATAACCAGTGATATCTAATATCAATATATTTCGTTCTAGCATGATACATGGCATTCTTACTCAAATTTAAAATACTTTGGCTATCATAGAACACCGCATACTCTTTCTTATTCAACTCCAATTTAAGAAGAAAACGTTTCATTCAAAGTTTTTTTTTACCTACTTCGGCTATTGCAATTTACTTAGTTTTTGTAGTTGACAAAGCAACATACTTTTGCAACTTAGACTGCCAAGACACATCTTCTTTTGCAAAAGTAAATAAATATCCTGAAATAGATTTCCTACCATCAAGATCACTTGTTATGTCAGCATCAGTAAACTCTTCTAAAACTGATTGTAAAACTTTATAACTCAAGCACATTTTTGAAGTATCCTTCAAATATTTGAAAATTCATTTCATCATTCCCAGTCAACCTTTTTCAGATTAAAAGAAATATGTTCACTACATCAACTATATGAGTAATGTCAGATCGTGTACAAATCATAAGATACATCAAATATTCGACTGCAAAAGAAAAAGGAATACTAGACATAGCTAGTTGCTCTTTCTTAGTCACTAGACAAGATTTCTTACTCAAATGAAAATGGTTGGCAAGTGGACTGCTAAATGATTTAGCATATTACATGTTGAATCTACTAAGCACTTGTTTAACATACTTTTCCTATGACAACCACAACTTTTCAGCTCTCCTATCTCAGATAATGTTCATACCAAGAATCTATTTTGCTGGACCTAAATCTTTCATGTCAAAAAACTTAGACAATTATTCTTTTAACCTATGAATCATACCAGCATCTTGTCTCACAATCAACATATCATCAACATATAATAAAAGAATAATGAAGTTACCATTAAGAAATTTTTTGACATACACACAAGGATCAGCTATCATTTTTTTATAGTTGTAGCTCACTATAAAAAAATTAAACTTTTTGTACCACTATCATGAAGCTTGTTTCAAACCATACAAGCTTTTCTTTGGTTTGCAAACTAAGTGCTATTTCCTTTTCACTTCAAAACCCTTAAGCTGATTCATATAAATGTCTTCTTATAAGTCACCATGCAAAAATATAGTATTAACATCAAATTGTTCAAGCTCAAGATTCAAACTAGTTACTAATCTCAATACTACTTGAATGGAATTTATCTTCAATCTGAAGAGAAGATCTCATCAAAATTGATGCCTGATTTTTTAAAAAAACATTTTACCACTAATCAAGCTTTGTACTCGACTAGCTTGTCATCATCTTTTTTTAACTTGAACACTCATTTATTTTTTAATGACCTCTTCTCTTTTGAAAGTTTAATAAAATCATATGTACCATTTTTTTGCAATGATTTCATCTTTTTTTTTATTACTTTTAACCAGTGCTCTTTATCCGGAGTAGCTTGCACATCTTTGAAGCTCTCTGGCTCCCCCTCACTTGTAACTAAAATAAAATCTAAACTTGAATACCTTGTAGATAGATTGTGCTTTCTAGTAGATCTCCTAAGCTAAAACTCTACACCACTTGATGTCAAAGGTAGCTCCTCCTGCTCAACACTTTCAGGTAGAGAGGATTACTCTCCCTGCTCAAAACTGATTGTATCTGACTCATAATTAACTGTGACTGGCTCATTCATATCCTCAAGTTTTATTTTTTGCTCATTTTTACTATCTGTGGCTCTTTTTTATAAAACCCCTATCGGTGTTGAACATCACACTCAACAGTAATTCATGTAGTCTTCTCATTTTTTTCAAGGTTTGCTAGAGTTTCTTTTTCATGAAAATCATATCTCTGCTTTTGATTGTCTTTTTCTTCACTAGATCCCATACCTTGTAACTAAATTCCTTATTACCATATCCTACAAATAAATATTATGTGACTTTACTGTTAAGTTTTGACCTATGTTCTTTTGACACATGCATGAATACTTTACACCCTAAAACTTTTAAGTGAGAGTATGAAGAATTTTTTCCTATCTACATTCTTTCTGAAATGTCAAAGCCTAAAGGAACTGATGGTGATTTGTTAAGTAAATAACAAGTTGTGTTGACTGCTTCACCCCGTAATAGTTTTGATAATTTTGCCATCTTCAACATACATCTGACTTTTTCTACAATGGCACAGTTTATCCTTTCAGCTACACCATTATGTTGCGATGTTCCAAGTACTGTTATCTCATGCCTAATCTCATGCTTTGAATAGTACTTTTCAAAATCTTTGGACGTGTATTTTTCACTATTATCAATTTGAATACACTGCAAGGGTAGTCTTATCATCCTTTTTACCATGGTATAAAATTTTTAAAAATACAATAATATCTGACTTTTATTTTTCAATATATACACCCAAATCTTACGTGAAGCATTATCGATAAAAGTAACAAAATACTTGTTATCCCCTAATGATCAACCTCAATAGGATCACATAAGTCAAAATAAATCAATTCCAATCTATTTTTTTCCCTGAGGACTTTTACAAAAAGAAACTCTACGATACTTACCAAATAAATAATGATCACATGAATCGAGAAATGTACTTTTGGTCAAGGGAATGAGAGATTGCCTTACCAAAACCTATAACCCCTTCTCACTCATGTGTGTCTGCCTCTTGTGCCATAAGTTTGCTAAAGCATCATCTTCAACAGCATTGATCTGGTTGCCGTTTAATTATATCCATGTCTTATACATTGTGTAGTATAGTTTTTTTCTTTACAACTACCATAGATCTTTTGAGAAGCTTCCACTATTCATTCTTTTGTCAACTTTCATATCTTTCCTTATCAAGGACATTAATAGTAAATAAGTTCATTTTCATATCTGAAATGTATTTAACATCCCTCAAAGTCAACATGTAACCTGTACTAATTTGTACAACAATATCACAAATCCCAACAATTTACGACACACTCTTATTTTTCATCTTAGTGCAATCGAAGTCTTTTGCTTTATAAGTTGTAAATAACTCCTTCTTAGAAAATAATGATATGCTGCTCCTATGTCAACTATCCATTCAATGCCGGGATCACAACATGATTACAATCACCATGTGTATAAATTAAAGTAATTGAATCACTATCTAAAGTCACTACTGCAACATTGCCATCATCCAAACTTTGCTTTTCTCATCTTTCCACTCTTACTTCAAGATTTTTTAGTATTGTTTTATATGACTAGTTTTACCATAATGGAAGCATTTCACTTTATCTCTAAACTTGGATCGATGTTTAGACTTATTATGGCCTTTTGAGTTCTGACTTCTGTCGATGTTTTTATCCTTGTTCTCTGTGATCAGAGCTTGATTCTCAAGGTCTGAATCTTTTCACCTTGCTTCTTAATTAAACATACTGTCCTTTATCATCTCCAATGTCACCTTGTAATTAGGAGTTGAATTAAGAACAGTCACAACTAAAATATTCCAGCTGTTTAACAATGAACCCAAAAGAAACAACACATTCATTTCATCATTCATCTTAAGCTCTATAGTAGTTATCCGATTAAATATATCTTGAAAATCGCTCAAGTGCTCTACAATCAATCATCCATCCTTGCACTGTAAAGTTATAAGCTTTTTAACAAGCATAACTTTTATGCATACCTGTTTTTCTCTCATAAAATGCTGTCAATTTTTTTCAAACAGTGTGGGCATCTGTCTCTTGCGCAACATGATGGAACATACTGATATCAACCCATTTTCTGATTATAGCCGACGTCTTTCTGTCTAACTTCTTTCAGCTTTCAACTTTCATGTTTGCTGGTTTAGTCGAATCACCTAATACCAGCTCATACAAATCTTTACAATATAAATGATCTTCCATTATAGGCTTTCAAATTGAATAATTTGATATTGTTAATTTTATCATGAAACCTTTATCACCCACCATGATTTCAAACAGAATTTACTTATGTCTTGGGCTACTTCTGTATCGATGTCTCAAAATAGTCCTCACTTTGATACCACTTGGTAAGGAGATAAACCATATTTGGATACTATTAAAGCACATCAAAGAGCTCATACATACATGTTTGAACATCGCTTAAGCCCAAAAGCTTAAGCTATTAAATTATTGAATCTTTCATGCATATATAAAACATCTTATTCAAATTTTTTAATGATACAATTTTTTACTCATATGTAAAACATATCCCAACGACAGACTGTACAAGACATTTTTGTTGAATATCCATACAGTTATCTACTAGCCAAAACATCACGAGATGATTGATTTTTAAGATGGAACCATAACTCCGTACTACATCGTAGAACAAGAGGTGCACAGAACTCATAATTACATAAATGCTATATCGCAGCACAGGAGATACATCTCATATCGTATGGTACATCCGGCTGAATTTGTATATAAATATATATATATATATATTTTTTAGCTTCCATACAGGTATAAAATGGGAACGGAAGTCGAGAATAAAGATCAGAACAAAAGAAGACAGAGGAGCATGCAACAAATGAGGAAAAAATTTATTCTGCTGAGTGACTGATCGGCTTGCAGAATGTGCCTTCTGATCCTAGGACTAGTGCTTCCTGCAAGATTGTATGAATTTGGATATGTATATAAGCTGGTAATCGAGTTCCCAAATACTCTTGCGTATACCATTTCACCAAACATTCGGGTTACTGGATCAAGTACATTTATCGTCATGCCACCAGGACTAAGCATGGGTGAAGCTGGATAAGCGCCCTGTTGAGGGTAGTAGATTTGTGGTTGATATGAATAACCTTGGTGATGTAATTGCTGTGGAAACTGCTGACTATTGGTAGTATTAGGTGATCTTATTGTGCCAACACCACAAGTAGGACCAAGAGGCCTCTTTGGTATGACCATACCAAATTGGGGAGTCCTGCATCTTGGTGCCTGAGTTGTTAGGCCCCTGCCATAAAGTGGAATCAGTGTGGTATCCGAAACTTCAGCTTTGCATACAGGACATTGCTGTTGTTTTTGGTCTTGGTCTTCAGCAGAGATGGTCTGAAAATGAAGCCATTTGTAAATGCAGGGCCAGCAATACAGATGACCGCATAGTGTGACAACTGGATCCTGCACAGAGTCCAGGCAGATGTTGCAGTCAAAACCTCCGGAGGGATTAGCATCAGAACCTGGGACTGCGTCTGGTGAATTCTTCCACTTCTCCGAGGGATTTTTACCTTCTCCACTTAAATGGTTATGAGCTACGGCTTCTTCAATGTACTGCTCAATGGCCATCTGCTGCCAAAATCTGTAATATATATGCAAAAAGAAACCAGTTTAGAATCATTAACATCCTCATTGCAAGTCTTATATATCTAACGATCAGTGTACTTAAAGATCTTTAACATGGAATAACTTTCTAGATACGAATGATTCTTATCTTTATACAAAGTGTTGATTTACATGATGGAAAAGGAGATTTGTTTTGCAAGAACACTTCTGAAGGGTTAACAACAAAACAAAGACAGATCCCATCCCAACTGCCCAAGTTTGATGGATAAGTAATACAAGTTCCACGGTTTCATCCTCAAGCAAAACCATAGCAGAGGATAATGCACAAGGGCAAGCTTTGCAGAAGCAGCATGTCATAGACAAAAAACTTTAAATAAACTTTTTCTGTTCTCTTACAAACATTCAAAATTTTGTATTAAATAAAAACGGTTTGATCAATATAAGAAACTATTAATTATTAGAATCTCTTGTTAGTCTAGTGCATCCTTTTTTGATGTCTCCTTATAGATCTGAAGAAGCTTGAAACCCTATATTTAAGGCCCACTAAGGCCAGCGGACGATATTGACTTCTCTTTTATATTCAGAAAGAAAGGCACCGCAGCTGTTGGTTGGAAAGAACTGGCCTATGCATAAATTAGTGAAACCAAGTTCCACAAAAGCTACTATCAAAAACTTCGTGAGCTCAACCACCCCTCTACCTGCATGAATACTTATCTTCCAATGGTGGGGCAGCGAACCCAAACATTTATTATTTATTTTGAAGAACATAACACAAGCAATTATTTCTTCAAAAGCACCACAACTAACCATATCATATCATATTGACAGTCCATAATGGATATCTCAATGTCGTTGAATTTCTTTATTTGGCTGCTTCAAGTTTGAATTGTCCAATTGGAACCTCTTTTGGAAGAAGTGCCGAAAATTGGCATCCCTATGAAAGAATCATCTTCAGTTACTATTTATTACTGTGTTTCTTCTAAGAATCCTAGAAATTTCCAACTCAAAAAATTTTCTATAGACCAAATTTATTGGGAAAAAAAATAAAAACAAAAACATTTGATCAAAACAAATAGAATGATGTCTATAGTATCCAGTAGAATCCGAGGAAGACAACAAGGAAAGAGAGAAAAGAAGATTGTAAAAGATAAAACACCAACTTCAGCTTTCTGATACTTTATGAACCGGGTGAGGATTTCAAAGAAACATAAATCAAAAACTGCACAGCTTTCAAAGCCTTAACTCCTAGTTCAGCCAATAAAAAACAAAAAAACTCTTTTGTTTTTGTAGGCCGGAAAGACTTGAAATTACCGAATTCTAGAACAAAGGAAAGAGAAGCTAAGCATAGAACACTTTTGAGGCTTGAAATCCCTCCATAGCTACAGAATTTTGATTCAAAGAAACTCTACTTAGACATTAAAAAACCTTCCTCAAGCTTCATCATAAAATCAATCATCTTCTTCATAACTTGATTATAAAACAACTATCCATAAACAAAAGAACAAAACCAAAATAGAAGAAACAGAAAGTTAAAGAAACAATGAGCCATTAAAACAGAGAGTTTTAGGATATAAAGATCCTCAATCCAAACTCCAAAACATAAATCTTACCCGGAGAAGAAAGAAAACACACAATATTCATACGAAGAAAAGTTTGGATAACATACCAAATAGTTGACAAGCCTCGTTTACGTGAACTTGATAAACCGAGGAGCTACTTTTTCTGAACGAAGAATCTGGTGAAACTCTTCTCTGAAAGAAACCCCAAAATAAAAAGAGAAAAATATATAAAGAAAAAGGAGTGATTGAGAAGGAATAAGATAAGAGAAAAAAGAGAGAGACAGAGAGGTCGAGTAGAGAAGGAACAAGAGTTTTAAGGCTTACGCTTGTGAAAGAAAGAATGAAAAGAAAGCCTGAGGCGAGCAAACAATTTATCTGGCTCAGCTTTATATAGAGACAAATGATAATAGTGAATAATCAATTAATAATGTGCTGTGAATCATGGAATACAGACATTAATCAAATACTTTGCCATTGCCGCACGGCGAGTTTGATAGCTTTACGGTTCCCGCTTTCTCACGTGGCACCCCCCACACTTCTATTTTTATAATAATCTTTTTGTTTACTATATATATTTTCTGAAAATCTTTTTTTTATTTTTTCATATTAATGAAATTGGCTATGGATTGTGATTTTAACTACTTATAAATTTCGGAAATTCATTTCATAGCAATTGGATTATAACCCCAATTCTTCATAATCTTGCCCTAATTAAAGTTATATATATGATTTAAAAACACACATTGCCTTTGTACTTGATCTGATTTGTTTTTATTAAAAAACTGGCCACATTTTTCATATTTTTCTTTTAAATACACAAAATTTACTCAATATCTACAAACTTTATCAAAAACATATTGGTTATTATTGTCACTTAATATAAATTAGAAGGAAGAAAATTATTTTCATTTTTTATAACTCTTGGAAATATTATGATTATTACAAATAATTATTTTACTTGTAAAATATCTTCAATTCTATAAGCACTAAGATTATATTGGTAATTTGATAATCTATATAATTCAAATATATTTGTGTGGAATTATTACAGAAAATACTATAAAAATAAGTAAATAAAATAAATTTTAAAAAAGATTAAATGTAAAAATAGATATTGCATTTTATATTTTTTGTCAGTTTAATGCTTAAAAAAATAAAACTGTTAGTTTAATATTCAAAATTTTATTTCGTCATTTATTTTGGTATTTCGAATTAATACTACCAGTCAATTTGCTAGCATTGCATGAATAATTAATAAGATACTAATACATGTTAAAAAGTTTAGTTAATATAATATCATCAATTACCACATTAGTATTAATAAAAAATTTCAAAAAATTTTAAAAAATCCAAAATATTTTAAAAATAATTAAAATTTTAAAAAATAAAAAAATTAATATATTTTAAAAATTATAAAAAAATTAAAAAATATATATGAAATATTTTTAGAACTTATAAATAATTAAAAAATATTAATACTTTAAAAAATTCAAAAATTTTCAAAAAATAAAAATTTTAATAAAAATAAAAGCTTCTCAATATTCAAAATAACTCACAAAAACTTTAAATTTTCTAAAGTAAAAAATCTAAATCCTTTTAAAAAATAAAAAAATTCTAAAATTTTTTAAAAAAATTCTTAAAAAAAACTAAAATTTTCCAAAAATTATAAAAAATAATTTTTTTGAAATATAAAAAATAAAAAAATTAATATTTGAATAAAAATCTAAAAAATTTTAAAAAATCTAAAAATACATAAAATACATAAAAAAATTAAAATTGTAACATTCAAAAAAAAAAAGAAAGTTTTTCATAATTTAAAAAAGGTTTACAAATTTTAAAATTTTTTATATTTTTTCAAAAATGTTAAACTTTTATTATTTTCAAATTTTTTATTTTTGTTAATTTTTCAATTTTAAGAAAATTTTAATTTTTTTTAATTTTTCACATTCTTTTTGAATTTTTTTAGATCTTTTTATTAAAATTTTGAGATTTTTTGAATTTTTAAATTTTCATATATATATTTTAAAATTTTCGAATATTTCATTTTTTTATTTTCTACAATTTTTAAAAATATTTCAAGTTTTTTAAAAAATTTTAAAATTTTTACTAAATTTTTTGAATTTTTAAAAAAACTTTCTTTTAATATTGATGTGATAATTAATAATGTGATATGTACTGAATTTTTTTATATATGTTAATATATTATTAAATATTCATGATACATCAATAAATTGATTGATAATATTAATCTTAAGTACCAAAACGAATGATAGAATAAAAGTTAAAACATCAAATTAAAAATTTTATTTATTTAAGTATTAAATTAATAAAAATATATATAATATAAAGATTATTTTTATATTTAACCTTTTCAAATATAAAATGGTATTTATGCGTTAATGTAAATATAAATTAAATTAAATAAACAATTATATTTTCTATGGCGTAAGATACACGTGAAAGTGAGGGTCCACATGTTCTCTAGAGGGAAGCTGGTATTCCATTTTTCGTCCAATGTCCAATTCAGTTGGCCGTTAGACAGCAAATTAAAATATACTCGGTTAAGTCGATTAATGGTTGGATTAATTAGTGCAATATTAGAATTTATATTTGAAGATTGTGAGTTTCAAAAAATTTATGTGTAATATTTTTTTAATTAAATATTGATAACTACTTTTCAATTTCATGTTGTTCAGCTTCTAGATAAATTAGTATTTCTTTCCATTTCGTCACCAACTTCAATAAAATCAGCCAAAATTGGACAAAGTATTTTCTATGTCTATAGCCTTCTAGATGTTCCAGAATGCCTTTTACTGGAAAGAAAAACGATAAAATCAACAATGTTGAATCTTGTTCAAGCATATTGAAATTAAAACATAATGTGTATCACATAAAAATTAATGTACCCAATCTTTTGAGCTAATTCTACAGGTGTTGAATCTGTTGGCTTGACTCATGAATGATGATGTACTTCAAATGATCTGATTAGCAATACTACACAAACCATAAAATCCGTTCACAACTTATATTTCCTTAATTTGCCCAAGAAATCCTGATGCTATACTGTTATATTGTCGTTAAGCAACAAGCAATACTTTTTTTTTTTTTCAATTTTTTTGGGGAGAACAGGTTTGCATTAGGTTATATCATGCACAACACAAATACAAATCGATGAGGATAGATATTACATAACAATGACATGAAAAATAGGACTTCAATTAGGCATTTGTCTAATCCTTACATTATACGAGTACTATTTATAAAATACAGTCCTCCTAGACTGCTTTTTAACAGGGTCTATGTCTTTTCACCTGGTTATTACTTACGCACAATTTTATATATTCTAAGGGTGATGAAAATCACAAATAAAAGGAAAATTTATAATGGTAGCTAAAACAAAAGTTTAGGACCAAAACCATTATCAGTCTTTTCCTTTTGGTAATCTAAGAAATTAAGAAACCAAAACCACCTGAAATTTGGTTAAAAATAAAAAGTTTATCTACGGAAAGTAACAATTTTTCAAAGATTAATTGATTGTATTTTTTTTTATATCTAAAGAAAAAAAATAAATATTTTTATTAGATTTGATAATTTAAAATATAACATAATGACACGATACAAATATAATATAAATATAAAACATAAAAATAATATGATTTAAAATTATAATAATAATTATATATAAATTTAATAAAATCAAATAATTTATTTAATATTTTTATATTTATATGAATCATAATATATAATTTTCATATAAAATATAATATAAATATATAAATTTTAATATTTTATATAATAAAAATACACAAATTCTACTTCTCATTGTATGTACGTAGGCTTTCAAAATGCTTGAAAAAATTGTAATCACATACCAATAGGCTGATGGCTATGTATTACTTTTATATTAACTACCTTTTGTTTCGGGGACTAAAGTTAAAAATTAAAAAAAAAAAAAAAATGCCTTGACAAACCGCTAATCCGGCGATGGAAACAATGGAACAAGCATGTTAGAAAACTCTTTCAGCCCTTGTTAGTGGGACTTTCTTGAGCTAAGAATTTTCTTATTTTACACAATTTTCTCACCATTTCTTGGCAATTGCATCAAAAAATTAATTCTTGTTTCTGTTAATTCTTCCTCATTCATTGATAGATATAGTGTGCGACTATCGTTTCTTAACTGATTTGTTGAAATTTTGATGAGTAAATTGGGGAAAACTAGTATGACTTCTAAATCGATCAAGAGCTCTGCAATCAATGGAGGAGGAGTGCAAATGGAGAATCGTAATGTTGAGCCGATTCAAAAGGAGAAAATAATGGATTGGAGGAATTTGTTCACAGCCTCAATCTACCAAACACTGGAGTATTTTCCACCTCAGAGGGCTGATGGAAGATTAACAGTAAAACCACGGAATGATGTCTTTGAGGAAGGGATTTATTAGTGGCAAAATTCCCTAGTAGCTCAGTTTATCGGTAGGATGCCTAACTTCAGTCTATTTCAGATGATGAATAATGTTTTATGGGGAAAGAGTGGTCTAATTGAGATTAAGCTAGGAGGAATGAAACTATTTGTGATTCAATTCCCAAATGAAGAAGCTAACGATTCGGTGATAGAGCATGGGCCATGACACGTTTAAAACAAGCCACTGATAGTTCGAAAATGGGAACCAGAAATGAGATCCCTGAAGTTTAACATGGAGATTGGCCAGTGTGGGTGCAATTGGGCAATGTACCTTCAGAGCTATATTCTATAAAAGGGCTGAGTTACAAAGTTAGTGCACAGGGTAATCTACTGTACATGGATTATATCACAGCAAATAAGCAAAGATTGGCTTATGCAAAAATTTGTATTGAGATGGAAGCAAGTATGGAGATCCCAAGGTATATTGATGTGCAATGGAGGGATGGATCAATCATGTCAATTTCAGTCGAGATACCATAGCTGTCGCAAAGATACATGCATTGTTGTATATTCGGGCACACCAATAAGGCTTGTACATAGAAACCAGTTAAGGCGGCAACAAAGGTCTGGGTACCAAAGGAAAAGGGGAATTAGGTTGTACAAAAGGAAAAGAATGATGTTATTGAGATGCAATCAAATAGTGCTAAAAGCAAGAAGAAGGAGATTGGAACAGCTCCCCCAATTACTAAAGCAAGATCTGTTAATAGACTTGCAATCCTAGCGGCTATACAGGAGTCAAAATTGGCAGTGGATGAGAATAGTGTAAAAATGGATCCTAAAGATACAGCTAAGGAATTGATACCCACTTCACCAAGGAAACAGAGTAGCAACTGCAGGTTTTGCTGATCCAATAAAAGCCCTAAAAATCAAGAAGAAAGGACCAATTGATAAGGGTAAAATAGTTAAGGCATGAGCTTCTTCCTCTAGAGGCAAACCTTGTTGTTCATCAT